ACACCTACTGTGTGGGCTAGGTGACTGCACCTCACAGCAGAGAAACACTGTACACCCGCTGAGTGCGCATCTCAAAGGTGAAGCCTGGCCACCTGTGCTTTGAATGAAGATCATTTTATCTAGGGAAACCTGATGGACTCTAAGCCTCCCTAGGTCAGATGGCCTCTTACACAGCAGCTTGCACTTCCAGAATCCATCTAGCTCTGCTCTGTTCAAAACTGAGCAGTCAGTGAAAGTCATGGTAAATAGACGGGAGGCATTTCCTTTCATGTTTCATGTTGTTTCAAAAAATCCAGACTCCCCAAGGGCCCCACTTCCTTCTGAATATAAACCCAGAGTGGTGCCTTTTAATGCATGTTTTAGCCAATCCCAGCCCCACCAGCACACAGACTCCGCCAAGGGGCAAACATTGCTTATCTTTTCTTTTTTCAACCTTCTGTAAGCATGTGTCTTACTAAGCATTGTGGAACCAGGCTCAACATAATCACTACTGTCTTAATCAGAGCAACTTGATTACTCCCAGAAGAGCCTGGACAGGATTGGATTCGTTGATGATCTAGTTTTAAAAAGGGGTCAGAGCTGGTATAGAGAGGGTTCCATCTACGCATCTCCCAGGAGGCTGTCACCAAAGTGAGGATGCAGCTATTTGGGTGACTCACACTTTTTCTAAGTAACCCCTCAAGCATGCTTCTCTCATTAAGCCCAATATATTCATTGGTTCACCAAACTGGACTAGGGTGGAATCGTTTTTGTGATCTGTTGTTAGTGCCCTTTCTGAGATGAAAAACTGTTAGGGAACATTAGCTTAAGAGGTGTTACATTCGTTTATGCTGTGGAGTATGTGTTTAATGATGCAAAGATGTGTTACAGTCTTTTATGTTGCATTTGTTTAACTCTGTGAAGCTGTGTTACTTTGCCTGTCTACACCTGATTGGTCTAATTAATAGTCAAACAGCCAATAGCTAGGCAGGAGAGAGAAATAGGTGGGGCTGTCAGGAAGACAGAATAAATAGGAGAGAAGAGAGAGGAGTAAGAAAATGAAAAGGAAACTCCATGGCCAAGTCACCCAGCCACAGAACCAGCCATGGAATAAGAAGGAAAGAAAACCAAATGGAATAGAGAAAGGTAAAAGCCCTAGACAAAAGGTAGATGAGATCATTTAGATTAGGAAAAGCTGGCTATAAATAAGCCAAGCTAAGGTCTGGCATTCATAAGTAAGATTAAGTCTCCATGTATTTATTTGGGAACTGGGTGGCAGGCCCCCAGAAGAGCTAAGAGTAAAAATGCCAACTACAAACAAGTGTTTATTCTCCTCTCCCTGAGAAGGTGTCCTGACAGAATGGACTGGCAAAGGCAAACTGCTTATCTCCTGGCAGCCCAGAAATGAAGAGAATGCCGGCACTAGGTGGGCTCTGTGTTTCCTCCTTTATCCTGTCCTATGGGATGCCCCATGCACATTTGGGGCATTCCCCTCTCTTAGTAATCCCTCTATAAATGTCCTCACAGACATACCCAAAGGTTCATCTTACTGATCCCCTAGGCACACCGCAATCCTCTCAAATTGTCAATCCATTACTGTCTTAGTCGCTGCTCTATTGCTGTGAAGAGACACCATGACCAAGGCCGCTCTTATAAAAGAAGGCGTTTCATTAGGGGCTTGCTTACAGTTTCAGAGGTTTAATCCATTATCATCACAGTGGGGAACATGGCAGGGGCATGTCAGCACTCATGGTGCTGGAGCAGTATCTGAGAGCTACATCCTGATCCACAGGCAGATATATTGTCTTAGTTAGGGTTTCTGTTGCCGTGAAGAGACACCGTGACCACAGCAACTCTTACAAAGGAAAAATTTTAATTGGTGCTGGCTTACAGGTTCAGAGGTTCAAACCATTACTGTCATGGTAGGATGCATGGCAGCAAGCGGGCAGACGTGGTGATGGAGAAGGAGCCAAGAATCCTACATCTGGATCGATGTACGAAGAGAGAGACACTAGGTCTACCCTGGACATTTGAAACCCCAAAGCTAACTCCCAGTGATACACTTCCTCCAACAACACTCTGAATGTAAGCTGTATTTGCATAGAGTTGTGTTTGCTACAGAGCAGAGGCATTAGAGATTAGAGGTGGCATCTCCTGAAGTCCCTGTCACCAGGTGAAGTGTCAAGGACTGAAACCACTCCCCCACCCCCATCTACAGGTAGAAATCACACCCTCTCCTGCCAGGTAGCATTCAGAATGGGGTCTTGGGTGGTGACCAGGTTTCAAAGGCCCCACTTCAGAAATGTTATTTGTGCCTTATAAAATGGCCATGGAGAGAGCTCTGTTCACCCCTGCCCTGGAGAGGAGACCCTGGGGAGCTTACCATTTGCCATCTGGGAGCAGCCCTCCCCAGACACCTGTGGCCCTGGGGATCTGAGACTTCCAAGCCTTTACTGGAATGAATGTTTGCTGGCTGACTACTCCAAGGCTGTGTCCTGTCAGCAGGCCCAGTTCACGATGTCAGCTGCAGCAGTCTGCCCCCCCCACTCTAATCTGCATGGAAGAGCAGCTCTAGGGGCTTCCTGCCTGGTGTCGTCCCCATGCTTGGGGGGGCTGAAGGAAAGTGATGAGGCCACAGGACATGGGCACAGAGAAGTAAACAGGTGAGGACCCAAGCCATTTGGAGGCCCCAAGTGAAAAGAAACACTGCCAGGAACTTAGTTCAGTGGGGCCTGCAGGCAAGGCAGCCTCTCCAGGACCCCATGCTTGGGCAAAGCTTTCACTTGCTCTTAGGGAAAGCAGAAAGGTGAAGGAAGCCTGAATGGGAGAGAGAAGTGCGGGGAAGAGAAGGGTGTGAGAAGGTGAGAGTGAAGGAAAGGGAGGGGCGGAGACAAAGCTTGGAGAAAGAGATCACACTGCTGCTTACCCTACCGTGGACTGGACCTCCCGAAGTGTCCGCATGTCACTCACATCTGGGCAGGAGAGCTCCAGTTCCTAGTCCTTTGGGGCCTGAAACAGGATATTGACCACATAGGCTATATTATAGGCCCTTCCAGGGAAATTGCTTTCTGATGCAGGCTGACTGGAGGGAGCCTCCTGATTTGAATCAGACGACCTGGATCCCTGTAAATACAGGTTCAGGCGAGGCTCCGGGAACCAAGCCAGAGCTCTGAGGTGGGTTGGGAACAGGCACACACTACACACACGCACTTGTGACCATGGTACCTGAGAACGGAGGTAGAGGAGAGTCAGGACGGATTGGAAGATATTGGTACTTTGGACCCTAAGGTCAGAGCTCACTGAATGGAGAGGAAGAGTCCCTGAGCAAACTGGCCAGGGCAGGGGCAAGACGCGTTGTGAGATGGCTAGGGACACAAGTGAGCCACCGCCACAGGACTGTGAGGCACGACCCACTTGCTTTGCCCTGGCAGAGCTGGAGAATCTTGTCAGCAGGTTGCTCAGGGCCACGGGAGCAGAATGGGGTAGTCGTACAGCATTGAAGTGGGGAGGCTCGCATGAGCCTTGGGAGCGCCAAGCAGGTCCCCCAGGCAGTGGACACTTCGCTCTGCTCCTCTGCTCCTCTGCTCCTCTGCTGGAACCAGTTGCCTGGGAGCCCCTTGCAGGCGCTGGCAAGACAACCCAAGGAGCAGGAGCAGGGACGAGAGACCAGGACGCTTCTCCTGGAAAGCAACTGTCGGTCTGTTCCACAACGCGTCCAACCGAGATACCTTGCTCCCACGTGGCCGAAGTAATCTGGCCGCGCAAGACACTGGCCTGCCCAGGCTTGGTGGTCTCTGGCTCGCTGTAGCCATCCTAGTACCTAAGAGATGCAGGAGCGCTGCCTAGCCTGTCCTCCGCCCACCCAGGGCTGGTCAGAGGCGGAGCCAGTGCCAGCAGGCGCCCCCGACGGCGGGCGGGGCTAGGCGGACCGACCCCGCGACTGGATAAGAGCTTGAGGCTGAGACCCGCCAGAGCTGTGAAGCAGAACTGCAGGCTTACAGGACCTCAGAGCTGAAGGCCAGCGCAAGAGGGAGGTAAGGACCAGGGTGGCTCCTTGAGCATCCTTGGAGGTGGCATCTCCATTTTCCCTGACCCACTCTGACCCTGGACGGCCAGGCAATGGAGCCACAGGCAGGAACCCCTCTCTGACCCTGGACGGCCGTGCTGTGGAGTGAGGTTCAGGAACTAGAGCCATCCGGGCTCTGGGTCCAAGTCGCCAACAGTCAGGGCTTTGGAGAGCAGCTCTTTCCACACAGAACTAAAGGGTGTGCGCTCAGCGCCTGTCCTGGAGTGCAGGGTTCCACAGAATCCAGGCTCAAGACCTTCTTCGCAGGAGGTTGCTGTTACTTCCCAGGGGGCAAGGCCTGGCTATGACTGAGTCTGGACATCACGAACCCTTGGCAGTGGGTTGAAGCCACCAGAGGGGCTGGAATCTAGAGGGTACACACCCTTTGGGGTTATTTTCACAACATGCAGAAAGCTCCCTCTCCCTTCTCCCTCCCCCTACCTTCTCTTGTCTTTTCTCTAAGCTGGGGCTGAACTCGGGTTGTGGGGAAAGACAGAGAACCTTGGCACAGGAGCCACCTGTTTCCTGATCCAGCTGGTGAAGAAACATGTTTTCCCAGGGGCCATTTTGCTATCTGTGCCCAAAGCTCGGCCCTGAGCCATGAGCTGAGGAGTAGGGTGGGACAGACAGGTGCCACCCGCGTGCCTGCAATAGAGCAGGGAGCAGAACCTGGGACCAGGTCCTTCGCTGTGCCCCTTGCCCATTTCACATCCAACCTACCCTGGTGATCCTACCTGCTGCCTAGCAGCTGCAAACCCGTTAGCCCATTTTTGACACGTGTGAGGAATTTGCATTTGGGTTTGTCACCAGGGTAAAGAGGCCACAGAGAAGTGGTGCATAAAATAACTTCTGTCAGGAGTTTTTGTTTAGGGATGCAGAGGAAAGTCACCCCATTAGAGCAGCCACCCAGATGCCGGGCTTCTGTCAGTGTGCTTGTCTGAGTTCAGTGGAAACAGGCTGTCACTGGGTGTGAGGGCTGCTGCCTCACTTACTCGCCAGGGCCCTGGCTCTGCGGAAGATCAGGAGAGGCTTTCTCTGGGAGTGCTGCTAGGGCAGCGGTGGACTGATCCCTCCTCTGGTGACATTCCGGTAACTCTCTGTCAGCTCAATGTCTGTGAAGGCATGGTCACGGGCAGGATGATTTGTGTATATGCTCCTTGGAGAAACTGATGGTCATTTGTTTTAGACTTGCAGTTACTGTGGCTGATTTTGGTCATATTCACTTTGCTTTTTATTGTATTACTAAATATAAAGAAAGTCACACAGTCTTACAAAGACTGAAGTGAGTGGAACGCTATTGGCAAGGTGGAAAATACTCCCCTGGGAATGTGGATAAGCAATACAGGCAACACCCGGGATTGTTATTAGGAAGCAAATTAGAAACCACACAAGCCTGCTCTAATGAGAATGCAGGCTTTGGTGGGAAAGGGAACAGCAGGGGTGTGTAGGGGTGTGTCTGTCTCTGGTCTCCACAGTCAGTCTCTCCCATCTTTATGAGCATCCCCAGCTAGCCTTCACCCTGGCCCTGGCATCTGGGGTGCTTGGACTACCTCAGATCTCTGTGCTCAACTCAGGTACCCTGTAGACAAGGCTACTGAACCTGTGCGTTGCTGTGTTTCTTTATGTTCACTGAAGGTCAAGAAGAAAGAAACGGAGTTCCTTGGGCCCCAGTCTACCCATGAGTAAGAGCAAATGCTCAGTGGGACCAATGTCCTCTGTGGTAGCCCCGGCTAAAGAGCCCAATGCCATGGGCCCCAGAGAAGTGGAGCTCGTCCTGGTCAAGGAGCAGAATGGAGTGCAGCTGACCAACTCCACCCTCATCAACCCACCACAGACACCGGTGGAGGCTCCAGAGCGGGAAACATGGAGCAAGAAAATTGATTTCCTGCTCTCAGTCATCGGTTTTGCTGTGGACCTGGCCAACGTCTGGCGGTTTCCCTACCTGTGCTACAAAAATGGTGGAGGTGAGTGTTACCTGGCCTGCTGTGCCTTCTAAGAGTGGGGAGTGAAGTGGAGGCCATGGAAACCATGGGAGAGTGGGGGCCGTGCTCTCAAGAAATGCTCACAGTAAAGGCTGAGGAGATAACTAAGTCAGTAATGCGCTTCCTGTGCAAGCTTGAAGACCTGACTTTGATCTCCCGAACCTCCCCCCCCAAAAAAAATCCAGGGCATGGTGGCACACTTTTGTAATGCTAGCTAGCACTAGGGAGGTAGAGACAAGTAGAACCCTGGAGATTGATAACCAGCAAGTCTCAGTCTGGCCAGTGACAGACACTGTCTCAAAAATCAAGGAGGGCAGCTCCTGAGGAGTGACACCCAAGGCTGATGCCTGGCCTCACAGGTCTCACATGTGTACACAGGGCCATGCTCACAATAGGAAATGCTGTCAGTGAGACAGTCCTATCCCCGCATAGGACAGCCAGGCTGCTCACCAGCAGCCATGACTTCAGTCTTCCCCAGCTGGAGGCCTCAGAAAATCTGACAGCCAAGGAACATGGATCCTAGACAGCAGCAAGAAGGGAGTAGGTGGAGGCATCAGGTCACAACTTCTATTTTCACTTTGTAAATAAAATTCTAAAAGACCAAAAGAACATGTTTTAAGATGACTTCGGCAGTGTTTATAGAGTTGCTGAACTTTGTACAATTTGAAGTTAAACTTAGGAAGGCAGAAGATGCCCCTGAACTAAAATATAACCATCTCCTCTATGCCCTCCCTCCCGCACTCTTTGTGCATACTGGCAAGCACTCTATACCACTGAGTCACATCCATAGCCCTCTGGATATTTTTAGTTTGAGTCAGGATTTCACTGTGAACTAGGCAGTTCTTGAACTCACTCTGTAGATCAGGCAGGCCTTGAACATACGGTCTTTCTGCCTTTAGCCTCTGGAGTAGCTGGGATTATGGGTCTTTGCCACCAAGCCTGGCTTCCCCACTCCCTTCTCTCAGCTATAGGACTGTAGCCGTCCAGTGGAGCTAAAAAGAAGACAAGGAGCAGGGTTAACAGAGAAATTCAAGTTGAGCCCAAAAGGTCTCTATTTCCATGGCTTGGTCTCCCTGACTGGTTGCAGGATATGAAGAATTGCTTTGGGAAGGAAGGACTCACCCAAGCAAATCCGTGAGCACAATTGCTTAATTATGTACTCTAGAAGATGAGAGCCCAAGGCCTCGGCAGCCCCAGTAAGTGATGGGTGAGGAGACTCCCATCTTCCTCATCAAGACCTCAGGAGAAAGTTGTGGCCACGCTCTGACTCATTCAGGTTGAGGGGAGCAAGAGGACTCCGGTGGGGTGCAACCTTGGTGGAGTAGAGGGTGCAAGTTAAGCCCTGCACTCTGGCCCCAGGAAACTCCTGGTAGCAGAAACTCAGCTCCAGTCTCCAGAGAAGCAGGCTCTAAATGTCAAGATTAGGTCTCTGATCCCAGGACCACAACTCTCCAGGGGTAAAAGTGGAACCAGGCATGAAGAGGCAAACAGTGCTAGCAGTGATGCTGAGAAGTGACTCCAGACCTTGACTACCTTGCTTCTGGCTGAGCTCAGGACATGGGGTGGGGTGACAATCGGAGGCATTGAGCAAAACATGCCCAACACTGACTGTGGCTGGGACAGGCAAGGAGGTGGGGTTTACCACCCATCCAGGATATCCCCCTTGGGTGGTAGCTATTCAGAAAGTCTTCCACTCCAGACAGAAAACTGGGTGACAAGATCATACCCAAAGGCACAACATCAGAGCCCACATATAGATAATGAAAGCAGCCCCCTTCTGTGGCCCCAAGCTAAAGCTGCTGTCCTGTGCACAGGTGCCTTCCTGGTACCCTATCTGCTCTTCATGGTTATTGCTGGGATGCCCCTCTTCTACATGGAGCTGGCCCTTGGACAGTTCAACAGAGAAGGAGCTGCTGGAGTCTGGAAGATCTGCCCTGTCCTGAAAGGTAATGTGCAGGGACATGGGCCCCTATGAGGCATGTCCGTGTCCCTGGGGCTTCAGAACAAGATGATGGTGTTATGGACAGGCCCTGCTTTCCTAAACTATGTGGACATATGCTCTTATAATATGGGTTCTACCTTAAAGACTGTAATGGCCAGGAATCTTCTAGAACGTTCCCTTGCTCCTAAGCAAGGCTGCCCTGCAGCTAAGTGGTGGTGAATTTGTCAGGGTATTAAAATGGTAAAAGTTTTTTAAAACCTACTTATTTGTCATCTGTCTATCAGTCATTTACTTACCTATTTATGGTCCATTAAGCAAGCACCCTTTTAATCTATCATCTGTCTATTCATTATGGGCCATCTATCTGTGCAACCATCTATCTCCAAACATCACTCATTTATCTGTCTACTTATTTATATACATATCTATCTGTTCACCTATCAATCATCTATTATTCATTTATCAATCATTTACCTACCAGTCATGTGCAATCAGAGACCTATCAATCATCTACATAGTTCAGTGAGCCCAAGAATGTTTACTCAAGGCTTCAACACTATGAGACAGATGTACTTTACACGGACAGGTGGCCTGCCCAATGGTTGTCACTTTCCAGATGTCACCTTCCTTGATCCCAGGTGATCCCAGGTAGAGAACACTATGTCTTCTGCATGGCAGACATTGACAGTGAGAAGTCCAAGGACCTCCCCATGTGGTAAAAGCAAATTCTGGGTCCACCCAACTTTGGAACTCCCTTGTCCTAACCTAATGCTGTCCCAAGGAGGTAGAGTTCCAGGAGACTTCAAGACTCTTCCTGGAAGAGATCCAGTGAGGTTCCCCTCCAATAGTTGGCTCTTGCTAAGAAAATAACTTGAAAGACGAGCATTGCATTTTCTCAGAAGTATTTGAGCAGTGAAAGAAAGCAGAGCTCCAGTTCCCAGTGCAGTCTGTGGACCAGTGTTTGCCATCGAAGACCAGAAACTGCCGCTCTGGGTAGGAGAAACAAAGGGTTGCTGTTCAGGTCATGCTCTTTGTGGAAATGCTACTCTTGTACAGTAGAAATGTGAATGCAGAGGCTGTTGGGCACAGGCAGCAGACTGCTAGACTTGGGATTTACATATTGTAAGTGTTGAGTAACATTTTTCCCTAGGCTAAAATGATTCCCTGGATTACACTGAAATGGAACTGTATACAGAGAGAGCCCATCAAAACCTACCTCCATGCACAACTTTAGATCCAGATAGACCCTCTGGGGACACACATTGGCACTGGATGTTCCCTGTTGTGATCAAAATGTAGGAGCCAGCACTTAGAAGAACTGCCCAGGACTATCTGACACCATCTAATGGAGAACTACTGTGGCACCTGGGAACCCTGGGACTCTAGGAGACAATTGTTGTGTTGAAGTGGTGTTTCATTGTCCACTTACTATACAAACTTTACTGGTTCAGTGTCAGTGGACTCAATCTAAGAGCTACAGATGAAAATGAATGACTCATGTCATGTTCTCCTAGACTCCATCTAGCAGTGCTAATGTGACCCAGGGAGTAGACACAACTTCTGAGGCTGTAGCAGTAGCCAGGATGAACTGGAATCAAATCTGTCATTCAGGTGGCAGTTGATAACTGAATTAAAAACCCAGCCTGCCTAGCCTTGTATAGAGAACATGTCAAGAGTTGGTGGCCACATGTGCCATGCACACCGCAGGGATGCCAGAATTTGATCTGTCAGATTTTTTGAGGCTCATGCCCCTTGATTGTGGAGAAGGACTAAGTTTTCCGCAGGATGCAACCAATCCTGTGCCTTAGTCTTCACTGGGAGCTACAGAACTGAAGGCTGACAGGAAACCAGGAAAGAGGGCAGACTGAGTAGCCAGCACTGTAGCCAGCAGAGGAAAGTGAGTTAGCTCACACAGGGACCTACCCACAGCACAAAGTTCTCCATCCATCTCTGGGTATTAGTAATGGTGTACTGCAACAATCCTAGCACCAAGTAACCTGAGGCAGGAGGATTGCATGTTTTAGGACAACTCAGGCAGCATAAAATGCTGGTTCTTCAGCAAAACCACTAATTTTTTTATTTTGCTGTTTGTAAAGCCTCAGTAAACCATTTTAAATAGCACCAAGGTGCCATGCAATGTTAAAAACTTGGCTTGGAACACAGTGGAGATGTTGATACCGATAGCTTTGTAGAGAAAAAGAAGACTATGGTCATGTGGCTAGGTGGAGAGAGAGACCCTCAAGAAGGTGGATAGTGAGCAGATCCAAGTGAAGATCCCCTGCTCCCTAGGCTGGCTTTCATACCATTCCAAAGACAGGTCTATAGGAGGGCCATGCTGGAGCAGAAGCAAGGCTGTGGAACAACCTATGAACCCCAGGTGTGGAACTCAGAATCTCAGTCAGAGATGTTCTGCTCCTTAATTAGGATGGGGAAGCTGCACTCCAGGAAGCCAACTTCGAGCTTTGGCATCTGTGTGCAATCATGGAAGTTCATTCTCTCTCTCTCTCTCTCTCTCTCTCTCTTTCTCTCTCTCTCTCTCTCTCATATACACAGAGAGTGGGGAAGAGAGAGGGGGAAGAGAGAGGGAAGAGAGAGGAGAGGGGGAGAGGGAGATGGAGAGGAAGGGAGAGGGAGGGAGAGAAGGAGAGGGAGGGAGAGGGAGAGAGAGAAGGAGAGGGAGAGGGGAAGAGAGAGGGAGAGAGAGGGAGAGAGAGGGGGAGAGGGAGAGGAAGGGAGAGGGAGGGAGAGAAGGAGAGGGAGGGAGAGAGAGGGGGGAGAGAGGGAGAGGAAGGGAGAGGAAGGGAGAGGGGGAGAGGAAGGGAGAGAGGGAGAGGAAGGGAGAGAGGGAGAGGGAGAGAGAGAGGGAGAGAGGGAGAGGAAGGGAGAGGGAGAGGGAGAGGGAGAGAGAACTATAGCCACTAAAAGCATCATGGTTGATGAGAATACTCTCCTATCTTGATTTCAGCTAGGTAACTTTTGCAGCCTGTGCTTATGATGAGGAAGACGGCCAGTGAAGCTATAGTTAGAATATATGCTGTGTGGCAACAGTCATCACAAGATCATTATTTTTGTTTTGCTTTTGTTTGTTTGAGACAGGGTCTTATTCTATATCCCATGTTGCATACTGACCTCAAACTCACAGTGATCCTCCTGCCTCAATCTGAGGATTTCAAGTATATTCCACTACACTCATCTGTAAGAACATTCTTTTTTTTTTTGGTTTTTCGAAACAGGGTATTTCTGTATTGCTTTGGAGGCTGTTCTGAACTCGCTCTGTAGACCAGGCTGGCCTCTAACTCACAGAGAACCGCCTGCCTCTGCCTCCTGAGTGCTGGGATTAAGGTGTGTGCCACCAACATCTGGCCTGTAAGAATACTCTTATGGCAAACAAAAAGAGGTGTGGGTGGCTTCTAAAGGCTGTGTCTTATGGGACATAAAGGATGAAGCCAGTAGTGTTGGCAGGTTGGTGACAGGTTATACTTCAGCCCCTAAAGCTGGTGGCTTTCTGGGGCTCCATCTTCTTCAAAAGCAGATCTCAGAGTGACCAACTCAATAGTCAACTCTTGTACCTGCCTACCTAAGGAGACATTTTCCTTACCCCCAGCAATTGAAAGGTCATAAATCAGAACAATTATATCTGCAAAGCTCAGAGTGGATATTTGAATGAGAAAAATTCTGCATGGATTTCAGTCAAATGAGCTGTAGTGCAGGAACATGACTGTGCTTACTAGCCTTCAAGGAGTTCTTTGACCAATGCGAGGAGCCTTTTAACTGCCTGACCATCTTCCTGCTGCTCAGGATGACCCTTTTCTGTCAACTGATCACCTCTGTGTTCTACTCCAGTTTACAGGAGTGCCCACTAGATGGCTGATCCCAAATTCCAGGGTCAGTGATCTTGAAAAGAATGTATCAAGCCCTGAATGATCCCAAATGATTAAGTGTACCCATGGGTGATCTTGGAAAGTCCTGGGTAGTCTCTCACACTCAGGTAAAACTAGATGGTCTGGTTTGGCTCTGACCAAGCCTTGAAACCCCTAGGTAATCATGCATGGTCTGGGAGACACTGGGTGGTCATGCATGATTTGGCAGCTCTAGGTGGTTGTGAACATGCTAAATGACTATGTTTATCCTGAATGGTCTTGGAGAAAGCATAAGTAGTTGTTAATGGCTGTGTCTTAAGAGATTCTGGGTAACTCCAACAGGTATGGATGGATACAGATGGTTGTGGATGGCCTGTATGATTCTGGACAGCCCTGGATTCCCCTGGGTAATCGCGGGCAGTCTTGTTTATCCTTTGATTTTTGAATGGACCTGGGTTCTTGTGGATGGCCATAAAGGGTCCTAGTTGTCTTTTAATGATTCATGGTGGCTCTGGACAGCATTGGTCATTTCTGGGTGACTCTAGGTGGCCTTTGATGGCTCTGTTAACATGGGTGTTTCTGATGACTCTCGATGTCTCTCTGAGACATATTGGTATCTCCGGAAGATACAGATGACTTTAAAAAGTGACAATCCCTTCTCTGTAATCACAGAGTAGGGTCTGGTACCCACTCTTCCTATGTGTTTTAAGGTGTTGTGGAGTGTGAAGGGTATCAGTGCACTGACACAGAGTGAGTAGATAATGGGAAGGGGCATCGTGCTGACAGTGGTTCTACTGTCATCCAGGTGTGGGGTTCACCGTCATCCTCATTTCCTTCTACGTGGGCTTCTTCTACAATGTCATCATTGCATGGGCACTGCACTACTTCTTCTCCTCCTTCACTATGGACCTCCCATGGATCCACTGCAACAACACCTGGAACAGCCCCAACTGCTCCGATGCCCGTGTCAGCAACTCTAGTGATGGCCTGGGCCTCAATGGCACCTTTGGAACCACACCTGCTGCTGAGTACTTTGAGTAAGTGAGTGGTCAATTCTTCCTGCCAGCCTGGAGAATGGGAGGGTTTGACAGTTCTGGGAACTCAGAGCAGCACTGAAGATACCCCGCACACATCTTGTTCTCAAAGCTGTGTTGAACTAGTCCCTTCCCTTGCCCACAGCTCTGGAATCCTGACCCTGGGCATCATATTTCTGAATTGCAAGGGATGATCTTATGCATCCTCATCCGGACTCTATTGATGGGGGCCTCTGGAGGGATGCACCTTGGTCTGTTGCCCACTTGTTCCATTCTGGCTCTATAGTAAGGTGGGAAGAAACTGCCCAAGACACTGCATTACTTCTTAGAAGGAAGCAGAGCTCTGGCTTGGGCTTCCGGGGCACAGGGCACAGAACAAGCAAGTTCTCTGTTAGCTACAGAAAGGAACCTCTGAGCATCACTGCCTGGGTGCCTCAGTGTCATAGGTAGGATGCAAGAACTGTCCCTTGCCATGAGGTTTTTCTCTCTTAAAAAATTTACTTACTTCACTGTATCCCTTTTCTATGAATGGTACTGGCTTTCTTTCCCCAACCCTGGTACACTCTCATCTCCAGCAAGCCTTCCTGGTTTTCTGTCTTCTTGACAGGTCATCTCCTTGCTTAGACTCGCTGTAGGCTAGCACCCCTCCTGGGATTTGTTTTCCTGAGTCTATACCCTTCTTTATCATTAAGTGGCCTAGCCTGGAAGGCCTATGACACCTACCCTATAAGGCCACTATTGGCCTTTCTTGAAGTCTAGGCATGTGTATGTTCACTCATGTGCATGCACATCTCTGCACACATGTGCTTATGTGTCTATGTGTGCACACATATGTGTCTGTGTATGAATATGATGCTCACCATAAAGAGCCACGTTGTCATAGGCAATGTTTTCCCCTGTATGAATTTTCAAGATGGCAGCTATGAAGATGTAAATTTATAGATGTAGGAAGGAGTCTGGGTCTGGAGCTGCCCTGCCTCTCTTGGGACACGGCTGGCCCACGCTGACTGAGGCAGGACCTGCTGAAGTGTAGCTTCCGTGACAGACATAAGCAAAGGAAATTCAAGGCAATCACTGCCAAGGTCAGGGTTTTCCCATGGACACTGACATTCTTTGTAGGACTGAACTCTCACTGGCCTATTTGAACATGTCTTACTAGTCATGATTAAATGCGTTAAGAGTTCACTTACTGCTTAACAAAAGCTGTAGCTGGGCCAGTGTCTGTGAACTTAACCCTCAACAGGCTGAGGCAGGAGGAATGCAAGTTCAAGGAATACAGAGGAGAATCAAAAGCTTAAACAGAAGGGGCTTTGGACAGCAGGAATGACATCATTTCTGCTCTAACTGCAAGCAGGTTCATTTGCAAACCAAGTGCTCCACCTTTAAAGTTCCAAGCGGTGCTCACTAGAGCAGGGAGACTCTGGGAAGGTGAGTGAATGGAAGCCCTGCCCTGGATGTTTAGAGTTTTTCCCTATGACAGCAAACAACGAATGACAGCATTCCTCAAGGAATGCTTCCACTATAAGTAGATCTTAGCCCATCCTTAAGGCCTGTTCACTATTGCAGCTCCCTTACTGAGTACTTTAATGAACACTGGTCATGGGCTCCCATCCATGGGAGCTGTGTCAAGCCAAAGCAGACAGACCAGCAGGGATGTGGGGGAACCAGTGCCTGAGGATACCAGCTGCATTGTTGCAGCTTGGGGATCCACCAATTGCACTAAAAGAAGCCTGGATCCAAGTTCAAGCTTGAGTCAGGGTTAGCTTATTACATAAAGAGAGACTGTGTTTGTGATCCCATGTGTCTTTCACAACTGCCAGATGGACTGGAATGTGTTTTGGAACACTCAGGGAGAACAGAGATGTCAGAGTATGTGAGGGGCCTGGAGAACTGTCTGATATCTCCTTGGAAGATGCAGGGAGCATTGATTCCTCTGTGTGGTTTTCAGATGAGGAAATTAGAGGGAAAATGTAAAATAGTCTAGGGCTGTTGTTTTGTTTGAGACATGGTTTCTCTATGAAACAGTCCTGGCTGTCCTGGAACTAGCTCTGTAGACCAGGATGGCCTTGAACTTAAAGAGAATCCACCTGCCTCTGCCTCCCAAGGACCAGGATTAAAGTTTGTGCCACCACCACCCAGCCTAGTCTAGGGATTTTTTTGACAAGGAATAATGGAGGAAAGAGTGTTATCTTTTAAAAGTCAGACTGTGAAAGTCTGGAAAGGCAGGATACAGAGTAGAGGTGTCCATCCCTGTAGCCCTGGCCAGACAGAGAGCTACCGAATGTGACTAGGGCAGAGATGGAGACAAGAGAGTATACATTACCCTATGAAGTATGTAAAGACAAAGCTGATGGTTGACAGAAAAGCTGTGTCCTCTAACACAGGCCTCCATGGTAACAGTCTAACTTTCCTGTATGTGTGTGATGACACATCATGTATTTGACAGCTAAGATGTTGGCAGGAACTCGTGTGAAAGAGTAGCACCAAGCATGTCTGCTGCATTCTTGGAGAGAATCAGGCAGGCCTTGGTGGGACACCAAACACTGGTCATGTCAGCCCCAGGCTCTGACTCCACAGGGACAGTGCAGTTGTCCAGGATGAGGTATGTTCCCCAGACATGACCGGTCTTGTATGTAGAACTGGTCCCTGTGCCTGCAGTCAGCTTGGTCAGCCCATGTCTACCACAGTCAACAATGAAAGGGATGCCAGGGAGACTGACCGCAGGAGGCCCCATGTCCCAGTCAACCATCTATTACAACCATCTATTCTTGAGTATACACATGAGACCGTTTACAACAGTGTGGCCTGCATGTGCAAGTCAGAGGACAACTTTCAGGAGTCAGTTCTATCCTTGGTGATACAAATATTTACTCACGGAGTGTTCTCATTGGCCCTGGTGATTGGGTGTCTTGAAGGACACATGTTCACGAATATTAAGTCTTCATTTTACCCCTTTGCCATCAGGAAATGTCCCTCTTGGTCATGAGGTTGACCTGAAGCTTGTGGTCCTCCTCCTGCATCTTCCCAAGTACTGGGATTACAGGGATTAGCAGATGCTACCATGCAGCAAGGAGTCCAGTCTTCTTTCTTAGATAGTAGACTTGGTGGGTTTTATGCTATGATAGTATCTTGCACTTGTCTTCCTTTAGGAACATAAGGTCTGGTCTGGGAGGTCAGGTTGGTGAATGCAGTGAGGTCTTTCTGCATCTTTAAACTCTGTGATTATGGCTCTGGGAGTTGCCCTTGAAGGATAGTTTATCCTCTATGCTCAAATGGCTTTTTCTGACTAATCGGTCTCTCTTTTGGCTAGTGAACAACCCTTAACCCTGAGTGAGATATGATGATGTCAGCTCTCACTCCAGTGGGTGTTTTTCCTGGTCTCCATTTCCTGCAGGCTTCACCCTGGTGTTCAGTGAGGCACTTCATGCACTTGTAAGCAGCTTTGTGGAGATCCAGACTAGAAAGATCCCTCTTTCCAAGACTCTGCCCTGCAGTGTGCAGATTCTTGGGGTCTCTGAGTTCCAGTCCATTCTTTGTACTCAGTGAGACTCAGAGTTGATCCCAGAACCCTACCCCACCCTGCCAGGAGTGAAGACTCCTGCAGGTTGAAGTGGGCACTGGCCGGATTCATCCCCCTGTGTCCTTTTCCTGAATCACAGTCCTAGGTTACCTCCAACCCAGCGCCCGGGGCCCCTTCCATAATGGCTAGGGTCCAGGCTACCCGCATGGCCTCACTCTGCATTATAACACACTCCTGTTGGTGGGACTGCAGTCTTACCTCATCTATCTATTATTGTAACATGCTCCCATGGGCAGAACAAAGATTGGAGGTAGAAATTTGGGCCCAGACCCTAGCTCGGCTACTTGTTAGCAGAGTCTTGAGGGGCTTGCCTTCTCTATGGCTTGGTTTATCTATCCTTTAAATGGAGAGAATAGACAGGATCCCAAAGAGACTGTAATTGATGCCCTTAGTACAGATTCCTGTTGAGGCAAAAGACTCACAGCCAGGAGCTCAGCTTCAAAGCGAATACAGCACAGCTGGTACTATAAAGCTTTCTCAGTGCTGGTGGGTATGCCAGGCTAATCATGCCCAGCCCTCCACACCACATAAGCTTCCGACATTTCTGCACATCAGCCCCAAATCACCTTCCTTGTTGACTGCAGGCCCTCACTTTCAGGAGCATTGTCCCTGCTGTACAGCGTGGGGCTTTCTGTGGCTATTGGTGTGGCTATTTCCCATGGCTGGCTGGGGAGGTGAATAGGTATGGGGGGGCTGGGCTTTAAAGAGTCCATGAGATCTTGTGTGCATGTGTGTGCCATGAACTTCTGTGTACATAGTATATGTGTGCGTTTTCATGGGTGTGTATACATGTACTTGTAGGTACATATGTATGTGTGTGTTATTTGGGTATGAACATGTGCTCAATGTAGATGTGCATACATGTGTGAATACATGCAACATTCATGTATGGGTATGTCTATGCTGAGGACAGAAATCAAGTCTGGCTGTCTTCTCTAATCACTTTCGACCTTATTGGATGTGCCTATGTGTTGTATGTGCATATACATGTGGGTGCATGTACATGTGTGTGTGTGCTTACATGTGGAGTTCAGAGACTGACATCGGGTATCTTCCTCAGTCACTCTTCACTTTCTCATTTCTGAAACAGGATCTCTCACTAAACCTGGAGCTCATCGATTTGACTAAGCTAGCTGGCCAATGAGCTTCGGGATCCTCCTGTCCCCTGCATCCCATCCTAGAAATGGATTTATAGATATGCACCAGCAGATCTAGGGATTTAAACTCAGTTCCTAACACTTGTACAGTTACTGGTACATTAACTACCGTCTCCCCAGCTTCCAGACCAAGGAATCTTAAACATTCCAAAGCATCGAGGCCTTTTATCACAGAATGAAACCAAAGCAGTGTAATCCAACTCATGTCAATAGTGGCTTAGAATGAAACCAAAGCAGTGTAATCCAACTCATGTCGTCAATAGTGGCTTAGCACAATCACTGGTAAAGCCATGCAGGACAGTACCTTCAGGATCCAAACCCTATGTGGCCCTAATCTACCTGAGTGCCACCTTCCTCCTTTGGGAGGAGCTGCACAGTTATGGCATGTAGGATTGTGTGCCCACTCTAACCCCATCCCTTGCCTCTGGCTCTTTGTACACCACCCTCCAGGCAAGGAGAGTAAATGGTCGCCTCCCTAAAGTTCAGGTAAGATCTGTTCCTGTGAGACACAAGGCTCTGGGATAAAGTTGGGGCTTGGAAAAGGACACAATAAACTGTGTGGGTCTAGACTTGGTGGCTTTATCCTGAATTTTGTCTCTCCTTCAGAAGCTCTAAGAAATGAGGTCCCACTGGGGCAACAAAGTAAGGAGCATTGGACAGCAGCACAGGGCAAGGGCAGGGACCTTAAGGATCCTCAATGCCAAGATAGTGCCAGTAACTCTACCAGGAAGTGCACTGGCCTGTCTCATTTAGATCAAGTGATTCATACTGCATACCCACATGCTAAGAGCTTGCACAGTATCCATTGTAGACAGGATGAGAAGCAAGCCATTATACTCTATAAGACAAGAAAGAACTATGGTACCCTGACCACACTGGGACCCCTGCCTACCTACTACCTAAGGAGTATAAGGGGAGGGTGGAGCTGGAGTGCTGCGCTGTCCCTGCTGGCAACAGCTAGAGCCACCCCAGTTGTGGTTTCTAGACTATAAGGATCAAAGTTCTCCAACTTGGTGCCATGATTCCTGTTTCAGGTGAAAATCTCCAGAAAGTTGGGGTTAGTTGCGTTCCATTGTAAGTCTGGACGTTAGCTTCCTGAGAAACCTCATCTGACCCACAATTGAACAAGCTTGGGATGTGGTGGCTCCTCCTGTTATTTTGGCAGAAGCACCATTAGAATAGGCCGGAGCTTTGAGCTTTGTGATAGTGATGGAGCCACATCCACGTTGCCAGGTTCTTTGGAAGCAAGTGTACCTTCCACACATTCTCTTTAGGATGGCTTTCCTCAGAGATGAGTGCAGCTGTGTGTGGCTCTCCATCAGAGCATCCCTCCAGGAGCCTCCTTAAAGTGGCAGTAACTGTGTGAGCCAGGATTGGAGAAGTCAATACAGAAAGCACAGGAACCTGCATGTGCAGTTTTACTGCCCAGAGCTCTCCTGGTTTTACCTCTGAAAAGGATTCTGGGACTGTTGCAAGATAGCAGCTCAGAGTGGCTTCATTCCTGATTTTTAAGATCTCCATTTCTCTCTACACCCAAACTTCCCATTCCCTCCCAACTCCAAAACTCAGGTCTGTTGGTCAAGCAGGGTGTTACTGACCTCCTACAGGTGTCCTGGCAAGACATCCGGCTTCTCTGACCATCTTAAGGCAGTTCTGTGACTCAGGGGACAGCCTTGAGTCCTTCATAGCAGGAAAGGCTATTTCTAGTTAGATCATACCAGGTACTTTCCATATGACAAAGATGAGGAGGATAGGGACTAGCTCAGCTGTCCCATTCCAGTCCTGGAAGACAACTGTTCCCTCCAGAATCATCTGTTGCCTCTCCTCCAGGCGTGGTGTGCTGCACCTCCACGAGAGCCATGGTATTGATGACCTGGGTCCTCCACGGTGGCAGCTCACAGCCTGCCTGGTGCTGGTCATTGTCTTGCTCTACTTCAGCCTGTGGAAGGGAGTAAAGACCTCAGGAAAGGTGAGGTGGAAACCAACAGGACCCAAGAACACATGGTGGTGGTTGGATGGGTGGGTGGGTAAACATATGGCCATGGTTTGAGAGCAGCTATGTGGTCACAGTAGGTGGGTAGACCCATGACCATAGTTGTCTAGAGTAACATGTGGCTATGGTTGCATGGTTGTACACATGGCCATGGTTGATAAGTAGCCATGAGGCCATGTTGAGTAAGTTAACATATGACCATGGTTAATGGGTAGCATATGGCTGTGGTTGGTGGATGGACATGTCTCCATGGGTGGGTGGATGAATATGTGGCCATGGTCAGTGAATATGTGATCATGATTAGTGTGTGGGCATGTGGCAATTATTGGATGAGTGGTCATGAGATCAAGATCAGCTTGTGATTTTGTCTAGGTATATGGACATGAGGCTATGGTTGGGTAGGGGGACGTGAGGTCATGTGTAGTGGGTGGAAACATGGATGTAGTTGAGTGAGAAAGTAAATAGGTGGTTATGGTTGAGTTGAGAGTAGACAGGTACCCATGGTTGTTTAACCACGGACACATGACCATGTTTACATAAGGAGGAGATGTATGGCTATGGTTGAATGAGAGCTGACATGTGACCATGACTTGGGGGGGAGCAGTAAGACACATGATCATGGTGGATAAGCACAGATATTGTGCTTAGGGCAGGGCATTGAGAAGAACGTTCATAATGCTGTGTCCAGCATGAACTTATTTCTTACTGATGAAAATATTTGGCAGTTATGTGAGTATGGGTACCCATGGCAATTTGACCAAAATTACCCTGACACCTGTTATAATACCTTTGTCAACACAGGGGACCCTCCAATAACAGCAAGTATCTCCTTCCCTGACCTCATGCCTCAAATCCACTCCTTTCCACATACCACCCAAATGCATCAATGTAAGCTCCCACCAAGGCCTCACTGCATGCGACTTAGGCCCCTTGGAGACATTGTCTTCTCTTCCAGGTTGTATGGATCACAGCTACCATGCCCTATGTGGTCCTCACTGCCCTGCTACTGCGTGGAGTCACCCTTCCTGGAGCCATGGATGGCATCAAAGCATACCTTAGTGTGGACTTCTACCGGCTCTGCGAGGCATCTGTGAGTACAGCCCCCATCATGGTTGGCAATCCTTGGAGCCAGTGGGGCTTGTGACAGGGTTCCTGCATATGGTTCAGGGGCCCAATATGTGGTTCAGCAATTCCTTCCTTTCCTGTGAGGTCAGCAGATACAGACTTGTCTGTTAACCTGTATACATGTCTCCATGGGTGGGTGGATGAATATGTGACAATGGCCAGTGAATATGTGGTCATGATTGGTGTATGGGCATGTGGCCATTATTGGATAAGTGGTCATGAGACCAAGATCAGCATGTGATTTTGTCTAGGTATATGGACATGAGGCTATGGTTGGGTAGGGGGACATGAGATCATGTGTAGAGGGTCCCCTGTGTTGACACAGGTATTATAACAGGTGTCATAGGCAGTATTGGTGGACAAGAGTACATTAGACACTTAAGGGAGCTGAGAGGATGGAGAGAAAGGAGGAGACAGAGGGATGGCCATCATCTCTGGTTCTCCACAGGGATGGAAGGGTGTGCCAGCCAGAGCACCATGAACATCCCTCACCTTCTTCACCTATGATATTACTGGTCCCAGCAGGGATGTGTGTGTGTGTGTGTGTGTGTGTGTGTGTGTGTGTGTGTGTGTGTGTGTGTGTGTAGTGTGTATTTGTAAGATGTCACCAAGAGCACAGTCTGTGGCTCTGTATTAATTGTCTACAGGGATGTGCTGCCTCAGGGCCCATGAACCAGGGTCCATCTTTGGGAATCTGAATTCCTGATCCACTGAAGGTTTCTTAAGTAAAAGGTTAGACGATTTGGAGGCCTCATGAGAGTTGGGCTCTTCCAGGCTATAGGAGATATTCCTGAGAGAGGAAAGGGGCAGTACCATCTTTGGAGAGCAATGAAAGCAGTCATTTTTGAGACACAGTTGTGACTGAAAGTCATGTGGGCTGGGTTGGGACAGGTGATAAACTCCAACGGCATTACAGGGAAGCACAGACACTGTGGTGGTCCTTCTGGAAGAGACTGGGTCTAGGACATGATGTGTGTGGGTCTCCGATGGAGTAGGGCATGACACCTGGAAGGCAGGAGGGCTGCAGATCCATACTGGGGCTGAGTCACAAGGTCCTTTGGGAGTTTGCTGCCTGATACAAACCTGAGGCAGAAGTAGGCAAGAACTGGCTGAGATGATCACAGTAAGGAAGGCTCAGTGGGGAGTGGCAGTGTCAGCATAAGTCTGTGTGGAGGTAGAAGGAAGGCCTGACAGCATGCACTCATGTCCCACAGAGTGAAGGAAGACGTGGGGAAAGCAAAGGTGACCTGTGACATGGACCCAAAACCAGGAGGGCTATGGACATCATCCATGTGGGAAACTGGACAGGCCAGGGGCAGGGAAGACATGTTTGAGAATTCAAGACAAAAAGAAGGTGAAGGTCATTTGAGTCTCAGCAAGCAGACAAGCTCCCCACAAAAGAAAGCAGGGAGACACTGCATGTGAGGTGCTAGGGGGAAAAAAAGCAAGTCACGAAGATGAGAGGCTGTGAAAAATTAAGATGGGCAGTATGACTGGATGGATGGAAGCTAGGTAGACAATAGATAGATAGATGCTAGATAGATATTGATAGATTAGATGACTGAATGATACACGATAGAAATAGATACCTAGATAATCAAATGTATAAATAGAAGGAACTGACAAGGAAGAAAGGAAGAAAGGAAGCTGTTTCTAGGGCCTTGTTAGGAAAGTGCTCCAGGTAAGGTCAGCCAGGCTTCTGAGCAGGGCACAGGTTGGCCCTGGGTGTGACAGTGGCCCAAGCAAAGTGCATGCTGAGAACCCAATGAATGGCACACGAAAACCTCTGGGGGGGGATAAACAGGGTGAACACTGGGACTTTGTGGGAAACAAGAAGTTCTTGGTGATGTTGTTCCTGCCTGAACCACCTCAATATGTGAGTTTGCTGTGATATAGGGGCCACACGGGACAGCAAGGCCCCCTCTACTGACTGACCACCTGCTCAACCACTCTGAATTTGGCCTTCCCAACATGCTGAGGCCAACTGTCCTCAAACACACAGTCCCCAACTCTGGGGTAGTCTGAAGCTCTGGACATTGCTACCCAAAGGACAGTGATGCCGTTCCCTTGTTGTCTGGGCTCCCACAGTGCAGGGCTCCAATCTCCTCAGCAGCATCCAGTCCTCTGCTCCATGACAGCCACTTCAGACATCCTGAGCTTGTCCACTGCAGACTCCAGTGACAGGTTCCGATATTCTTGACTCGGTGTCATGGACCCTGGGCTACATGGCACTCAGAAACAAATTCTAATATGGTCCAGGCCCCAAATAATTTAGATGATAGATCCTTGGGAGAGACTTCAGAGTCTTCCCACCAAGACTACATGGGAGCTCTTCTGTGCAGCTCCCTAGGTCTTAGCATCACCCTAAACCAAGCAAGCTACACCTGACTTTATCATTTTGGAACAACTATCAGCTCTCATACCTTTCTTTCTGCTACTGCTGGACGTCTATTCCTGGCCTCAGGTGGCCTGGGGCTCTGTCCATGTGCCCCCTGAAACCACAAGTTGATAACCAAAAACACAATCTCCCTTTTTCAATGCCCTTGCAGACCAGGGATGTAGGAAGAAGGCCTGTTTCCCAAGACAGCAGGTATCTCCACCACCAAGGATTTGCTGAGAACTTTTGCCGCCTCCGCTGGAGGTGAACATGGAGTGTAGATAGGAAGTCTATGTTGTCACCTGGAAGATGGCCTGGTGACAGCTCCCACTCTCCTCTCTGGTGGAATTTGAGTCCCACAATTCTCTCTAATCATGCCACATGCTCTCCCATCTCTGACTGTGACAGGTGTGGATTGATGCTGCCACCCAGGTGTGCTTCTCCCTGGGCATTGGTTTTGGGGTGCTGATCGCCTTCTCCAGCTACAATAAGTTCACCAACAACTGCTACAGGTAAGTCCTAAGGTACCATCACTGGGAGATGGTCTGCAAAACCTACTCAGTGTCACTGATCCTGGGGTCTGCCTCTGGGAAGTGAAGATTTCCTGTAGGAAAATCACAAAATCTCTGAGTCACACAGATTTCCTTTCCTTAGTTTTGTTTGTTTTACAGAGACACGGGGCTTTATGCTATAGCCTAAGCTGTCCTGAAACTTACTATGTAGCCCAAGCTGGCCTTGTCATGACCTTTCTTCCACATTAGTCTTTCAAATACTGATAATAGAGGTGTGACTCACCATGCCTGTCTTCACACAGAATCTTCCAACAAAATCTCATGTCTAGCTTTAAAGAAGATACTGAGACATGAGGTACTATGTGCCACCTTCAGGGAAGAGCCAGATCCCTAGGACAAGGTTGCCAGCCAGCCCTTCCTTTTCGGATATACCTTCATCTCTCCTTTCTCCCTTTTGCTATTCTCCATCCTCTCTCTCCCATCCCCCACCATGGGTTTCCTCTCCTTTGCTCTGGGTCCAGTTTTACCTAAGACCTTCACCTAGGGCACTCTCATAACCTAAACTGAGGGATCCTGGCCCTGCGAGGACGTCCCTGTGCTGAGAATCTTAGCCTGGGTCACCTAAAGCTACATGCTGGCACTCTATCAGAAAGTTCCACATCCAAAATGTAACACTTCCTCCTAAAAACAGAACCAGTTGATCCTGAGATCTGTCCTCTTTGAGCTTAGTGGGCACCGAAAATATAGAATAAGCACAGGAAAATGGTTCCAAGTCGTCACCAAAGGAGATTGCACAGAGGGAAATAAAGTGGAGGGTGGTTGTGGACCCCCATCCTGAGGCAAGTCCTACTTGGAGCCCAGGTGTATACTGGGGCAGGCTCTCCACAGCCAAGTATTGGGTCATCCAGTGTAGACTGGCCACAGTGGAGACCTGACCTTTCTGGTGGTCTCCAGGCATGCCTCAATCCCTGATTATCAGTGCTTAGAGTAGATTGACCAGACCAGCCACTTTGGCACCCCCTGTGTGTGCATGAAGACTTCGTTTCACCAGCCCCCAAACCTGTGCATGCCCAGGTTCCACTATTCTTGTGAGGTGGCCCAGAGCCAAGATGACTGTGTGAATGGCACACAGAGTGGTCATCTTTCCCACTGCCCTGAGCCCTGACGGAACCCAGGAGTACCAGACAGGTTCTCCCAGTTGTAGGTGCTTTGGTGGTACTCCTCACAGAAGCTTCCCTCTGAGCCTGCCCATCCCCTTCCCTAGATGCTGAAAGTGGGTAATAACAGCTGGCTTCCCAGAGCCATAGCTTAACGGGTACCAGGACAGTCTGTCTTGTTCCTACAGAGACGCAATCATCACCACATCTATTAACTCCCTGACAAGCTTCTCCTCGGGCTTCGTCGTCTTCTCCTTCCTGGGATACATGGCACAGAAGCATAACGTGCCCATCGGGGATGTGGCCACAGATGGTGAGCCCCCAACCCACCACATCCCACTCTGTCCTCTCCGGAGTAAGGACAAAGGGACATGGCCGAGACCCAAAGGATGTTGGGTATAATAAGACCTCCTGGCTCAAATGAGAGCAACCATGGCCGGCTGATGTTCATGTGACTTAGCAGCCCCAGTCCAACTCCCAGGTTCCTCCCACCCTGCTTCCTCCACAGTGCCTATGCGGGGCTCACATGAAACCAGTCCCTCAGCCTCTTCCCTGTAGATACTGTGTAGAGGTCTGGGGGAACATCACCAGACATTGTCATCTGGGTCCCCTGGGAGTTCATGCTGTAATGGAGTATGTAAAGCTCAGGGGAGGGGAAGACTGGGCTTTTCCAGCCACACAGTGTCAGGACAGGAAGGTACTGGGCTTCGACTTGACTTGCCAAAATGAAGCAGTTTCTGACATTAGCTGTCAATGTCTCCTAGTGAGTGTCCAGAGATCGTGGCAGGCTTGAATGAGATTTGGGTCTAATCCCTAAAGTCCTTCAGTCTTTGACAAATGATCTTCCCTTCCTTCTAATTTACCTGCCTTTTTGGCACTGTTTTGGACACCAAGTATCTCTCCACACCTGGAAGTTGTGACTAAGTAGGAAAGGCAGAGGGGAGGACTCAGTGTAGCCGGGTGGCGTCACGTCTTCATTTTTTTCTGTTTCTATAACAAAATGTCTGGAGCTGGGTGACTTTACAAAGGAAAGGCTAATTTAGTTCACAAAGGTCCAAGAGCATGCAACCATGAAACCATGAGTGTGTCTTTGGTGAGGGCCTCCAGATGGAAGAGAAGAAAGGACCCAGTGCCTATGGGCTAAACACGTAGCCTTGCTGTGTAAATGTCCACTCTCTGTGATGAATTACACTAGTCAGCCTTCCATCACTGGAAAAATGTGTAAGAAAATCAGTTTTTAAAAGGGAAGGCTTGTTTGAACTCAGTTTCAGAGACCTGAGCCCAGGATCCCTTGTTCATCACTTTGGACATGGACGAGACAGAATATCATGGTGGGGTCATCATGGTGAGATCCTGAGGGCTAAGAAACCAAGGAGAGAAGGGTTTGGGGCCACTGCACATGACTTACTTCCCCCAACTAGGTCCCCCACAAGAGCCCATTCAGTATGAATTCACCCGCCAGTGATGTTGATTTCCCCATCTTCCACACACCCGCAACTGTGGATTAGGTCTTCAGCACAGGGAATCCTACATCCAAAATGTAACATCAATCCAGTCTCAAGAGACCCACTGCTGAGAGACCTAACTTCAATCTCCATAGATTAACAATCTCTTCATGAGGGTGGTACCCCCATAACTCAATACCTCCTAAAGGCCCTATTACCACGTTATCAATCTATCTTAAATTTCAACACAAACTAGGAAGATGGCTCAGCTGATAAAGTGCTTAGCATAAGGGCTAAGTCCAAATCTCCAGACTTTGAGTGTGTGTGTGTATGTGTATGCATGCACACATGCACATGCACATGTGGGGCGTGCATGATCTGTGCAGGAAAGCTATCTGGAAAGGCATCTGGGACTGTCTGAGGCAGAAGTATCTGCCAGTCTCTTCTCTGATCCACGTTTTGATTAAACGCCTCCCATTCCTGTGTACACATGTGAGCTGCGGAACAAGAGTGCAGGGTGGCTGAGCACGAGCTATCTCAGGTGACCATCTACCAGGTGCTCTTGGGCACCCCAGCCAGTGCCTGCTAGGTTCTCAGGAAGTAAGGACTCCTAGGAGAAACAGAAGGAAAGCAGTGGGGGAGAGTTTCAAGAGATCTGAGCATGACTGGCATTGACTCTGCCGGGTGGCCTGATGGGATGGTGGGGCAACAGAAAACAGACTGTGACAAGTAGAGAGTCAGGGGGCAAACTCGTGACAGTGGTGAGTTCCAGGTGTGACAGGTGGGGAAGCCAGGAGCAAGTCTGTGGCGGTGATGAGGGTTTATGCCTGTAGGACCTGGGCTGATCTTCATCATCTACCCTGAGGCAATTGCCACACTCCCGCTGTCCTCGGCCTGGGCTGCTGTCTTCTTCCTCATGCTGCTCACTCTGGGTATCGACAGTGCTGTGAGTAACACGTACCCCAAGGCTCCACATCCATGCCTCGTTGTTGGCCTGTTTCTGGGGATGCTGCCCCTGTGGGGCTAGGCATAACCCCAAACAGTTCCTTAAACTGCATGTGCTTAGCACAGAGCCTGCACACCAGGTTCAAACATCACCATGACCCTCTCTAGACCTGAGTGGTAGTGGTTGAAATGTAACTTTCCCTTTTCTAATCCAGTATCAGGGTCCAGACACACCAGTAGTCAAAGGGTTTGGTCCATAATAGCAGAGTGATTGACCACCCCTGTACAGCAAGGCCTTTCCTGACCTCTGGACTCCCTTATGATGGATAGAGGCTGGCCGTATCACAGGCTGGGTCTTGGAAACTCTTTGCAGCCCCCTGGTATCCAACCTTAAAGGGGCTGGAGCCAATGAGCTCTCTTAGACTCCCTCAGCCCCATCGACTTCTCAAAACCATTTACTGAGTCCTAATATCAGAATTGGCTGGTGGCAGCTTTGGGCTGCCTCATGCCATTTACCCACCCTGACAGAGCTCAGCAACTGTGTGTTTCCTAGAAGGCCTGAACCAGGAATCCCTCTTCACAAGAGCATGAACCTCATACCACAGCCCTCACCTCCATCTACACCCAGCTGGTAGCCCCTGAGGTTCTTGTGTCCAAGAAGGCACACACACGAGCATTGCTTGAAGACCACAGGCCCTACCTGGCTAGCGCCATTGTGGTGCAACTTGGGGACAGATCCGATGCCAATCCTGGGACTGTGCTTGAGGGAGGGACATTTTGCTTTTATCATGAATTTGCCCCATCACTCTCATAAGACTTTCAGCCACTTGGCACTTCATAGGCCCAGGGACTTCAAGGTGGCTGTGGCTGCCATCCATAGAATCTTCCTGAAGCCTATGTCAGCAGGGAAGCGTCATCAAGCGCTCTTCTTGTCTTACTCCAAGTCTGCTGCACATTCCCTTCTCCACACCACCCTGAGTGGACACTCACTGAACGAAAAGTTAGGCACCGGAAGGGTAGTGTCAACCACCATTCTCTGTGTCCTGCAGATGGGGGGCATGGAGTCTGTGATCACTGGGCTTGTCGACGAGTTCCAGCTACTACATCGGCACCGAGAACTCTTCACTCTTGGCATTGTCCTGACCACCTTCCTGCTGTCTCTCTTCTGTGTCACCAACGTATGTAGTTGCCTGCCCTGGTGTGTCAGCCCTGGTGCCATGGGAACAGACACACTCCATCATTTCTAAGAAGCTTCATCCTCCCCCTCGAGTAAACCTACTTCCCTGTAGTCACAAGCAGAGCAAACGCAGATCTGGAACCTGGTCCCAGAGAGAAGTCAGCACTTGGACAGCATCCAGCATGTGCCTTACACTGACCCTGCATTCCTGGGGGTGGAGGGAGGCTGGAAAGTGGCAGAGGACTTTCTGTGATATCTTGGCCACTTTTGCACTGGAGATACCACCAAGCTTGGCATTTGAGTGTCTCTGCCCCTTGTTATCTGGATCCTGGGAAATGAAAGCAAGGGTGAAGTGGTTTCTATCTTATTTATTTAGGATGTTTCCCTAAGAAACTGTGTGTGAATCCATGACTCAAATCAAACTTTATAGGGGTAAATAGGCTATATCTCCAGAGTGAACCCACAGGATGGGCTACCTTTCAGGGAAAATATTTTGATGTCCCCAAGCTCATGGGGAGCTCCTTCTCTTCCAGGGTGGCATCTATGTATTCACACTGCTGGACCACTTTGCAGCTGGCACATCCATCCTCTTTGGTGTGCTCATTGAAGCCATTGGGGTGGCCTGGTTCTATGGTAAGTCTTGGTGGTCAGACCAGAACTGTGGCATCAGTGTGTCAGCTAAGCCAATGTCTTCTCACTTGTTTTCTGGCAAAACCACTCTAAAAAGAGGCATTTGGACTCCACTGGACTCCAGAAGATTAAGTCATGGCTTTAATGACATCACAGGCTGTGTGGCCAGGGCCTGTCTACTGGATCAAGGACAGCCAAGTGTCTACCTGGGAAGCCATGTTGTGTTCAGAGATTTCAGAGAGGTTGTGTTGTGTGGGAGAGAAATGCTGACTGGACACTGGACCCTTCATAACAATCTGGCAAAAGGCAAATATGCCATCTAGCTAGCCAGGACCCTACCAACAAGCACACAGTAGCTTCGGCTCCAACAGCCAGAGTCTGGTCTACCTGTCATTGTAGAAACCTTGATCATGCAGTTCAGTTGGCCTGTGAGAGGGTCGTCAAACCATGGCCACTTCCCAAAGGTGCATCTCGTACCAAGTTGCTGGAGTGTTAAGTTAGAACCATAGGTCCTCCTTGAGAATAGCCCATCAGCTGGAGCTGATCACAGGCCTTCTAAGAGCTGGCTGGAGGTGGGACCTGAGCTGCAGGACCTTGGGGACCTCATGTAATTGACTGGGGTCTACTCTTTTCTACCTACTGCAGTCTTCTTGCTGCAGTGAGGGTCTAATAGTGTCCTGGGGCCTGACGGGAGCTCTAAGCAGGAGACTTTGATCAGAGCTCTAGTCAGAGACATTCTAGTGAGACCACAATGTCTGCTGAGCTTTTTAAATCTGGGAACCCCGCTGCAGTCACATGAGCCAGAGACCAGGCCAGAAGCGGGTGAAGGGAGTCACTGTGAAGATCTCCTTACCAATTCCTGATTAAGAAAGGCCGAATAACACTGCTGAAAGAAGGGTATTTCTAGAGTGTACTGCTGGAGAAATTCCAGTTATCTGAAGATAGCTTTAAATTAAAAAGCATTACACACACACACACACACACACACACACACACAGAAAGAGAGAGAGAGAGAGACAGAGACAGAGACAGAGAGAGGAATATTCAGCCTTTAAAAAGGAAGAGACTCTGGCACATGCTCCAACATGGATGATGTATGTGCTAACTGAAGCAAGCAAGTCCCCAAAGGACACACACTGTGATGTCACCTACATACTGTCCCTCAAGGGACCAAGTCCCTAGAAGCAAAGTGGAATGCTAGGTGTTGGGGCTGGAGTTGTCATTGAATGGACAGAGTCTCAATTGGGAAAGATGAGAAAACCTTGAGGATGAAAGGTAGTGATACAGCCACTGAGCTGACCCTCAAAACAGTAAGTTTTGTGTTGGGTGTGTTTGCCACAGTGTTTGATAAAGAGGAGATTACTGCTTGCAGAAGGAGGTAGGAAGACTGTAGGACCTGGAGAAGGAGCAGCAGCAGGGTAGGGATGGAGTATTGCTGGGCCCTCAACTCACCCAGCAGACCACAGGCCTCTTTGAAGCATCATCAGAGACAATTAGCGCATGGCTGGATAGAATTAGGGATATGAAGTTTGAGAGGTGAGGACCCTATGTATGTCCAGTTTCATCACTAGTCCCACAACTATCTATTCCCCCTTAGGTGTCCAGCAATTCAGCGATGACATCAAGCAGATGACAGGCCAGAGGCCCAACCTGTACTGGCGGCTATGCTGGAAGCTGGTCAGCCCCTGCTTCCTCCTGGTAAGAACCATGAGCCCTAACACTCCCTGCCTCTGCCCTTGAATCATCCCAATGCCTTGAGATCACTGAGAAAGATGTCAGAGAGCTCATCTGACTTCTTGTAGCAAGTAACAGCGATGTATGATATATGTAGCTCCACAAACCAGCTCACAGCCCTCTGCAGCCTGAAGGAAACCCTTGCACCCACTCAGGTGGTCAGAGGTAGAATACAGCCAGTATAAATGGCTGGGAGGGCTTCCTGAGAGCCCCCACAGCACTGGCTTCTCGTCTCTGCCTGAAACAGTTGATTCTTTTTTTAACCATCCTATCTCTGTCTTCTCCCTTTAACAAGGCCCCTCCCCAGTATGAAAGAGCTGACCTTGATCTTAGGAGACACAATGAAGTCTTTGAGTTTCATTCCACTTTAGTTCACAGTGTAAGATAAAACTTAAACATTATGCTAGACGTTCATTCTACCAACTTCATGGAAGCCTCATTCATGCAATCTTAAACCTAATTTTAAAACCCGTTCCGTATAAGTTATGACCTTAGCAGAAAATAAAAGCTACCTCATGTTTCTCTAAATCGCTGTGTTATCATCTGGCCACAGCAGACAGGGTACACCGAAGGCATGGTATTAGATGACTTCTGCAGCAGATCACACTACCAAACAAATTAACCATATCAAAATCAACTTACATATAGCCGTATGGGTTTGGCAAACACAGTGCTTTCTAGAAAATGTGTCATCTGTTAAACAAGTGTGAGATATGTGTGTCCAAATGTATTTTCCAAGTTGGTATGGTTTGACAGTAAACGGGCACACAGACAAATAGGTATGCATAGTCAGCCACATTTGTGGTATGAATACCCAAAAATGCATCCTACTGCACAACTACTGGACTTGCTATGTTTAGGAAGGGCTATTATGTCCAGGTACAAAGAACACGTATAACTATGCAGTTCATGTGTAGGTACAAAGTACAGGTGTAGCATTAAGCACATGTTTAGGTACACTGTAAATATGCAAGCATAGGGTATAAATACATAGTGCATGTATTGGTGTGCAGTATAGGCACAAGCAGTCTGGTAGGTACACATGTAAGCACACTTATGTATAGGCATGAAGTGCACGTGTAGTTACGAGCATGTGGGTAGGTATACCATTGGTGTCTTAAGAAGAGGTTGTATTGTTTGGGCCAGGCCCAGGTAGCCTGGCTGGGGTTGGCTCTTGTGGCTTGTGTGACTGAGACCTTCTGTAGATAACTTGTTGATTTTTCTCCTCTATCTTCACGCCTGACCTCTGTGCCCTTTATTTCAGTATGTGGTTGTAGTCAGCATTGTGACCTTCAGACCCCCACACTATGGAGACTACATCTTCCCAGACTGGGCCAATGCACTGGGCTGGATCATTGCCACATCCTCCATGGCCATGGTGCCCATTTATGCCACCTATAAGCTCTGCAGCCTGCCGGGGTCCTTCCGAGAGGTGGGTGTTTTCAAGGGGGCTCCTCCCCCTAATGGTTCAGGTGTCTCCATCCCTGGACCATCTCAGCCAGCAGGAGGTTGGAGTTGGGACCATGATGGGATGGTGGGTTGGTGCAACAGAAAGGAAGGGAATGTATTTGCATGGCATATTTGTGTTTATGTGTGCTGGTGTGCCCACACATGAGGCTGTATGTGTGCACACTCATGCATGCCCATGTGTTCACACCACATACATAACTGACTATGCATACCTATTTGTCTGTGTATTCCGTGTATACCAGTGTATCTATATGATTTGCTCTGTGCATCCATGTGTCTGGGTGATACCTGTCTATGCTTACGTGTCCTGTTTGACCCTCCCTGGCAACTATTCATGGAAGAATAAGAACTTATATGAGTGAACTAATAGTTCCCTGAGACCATCCTCCACTTGAGTTTCAGGGGCTCATTGAAGCAGTTTTTCTGCATTGAGCAACAAATTCCTTTACACCTGTGGGGTCCAAAGACTCCCCCTTGGAGCCACAGCATCCCTTGGTATTAGATACTGCAATAGGTCCCTCATCTCACAGGCTGCTACTCAGAGGTCCATCATCAGTCACACCATACCAGGTCTAGAACAGAAGCAGAGTATGTGGTTGGTGCACAGCCTCTCTGATGACAAACTTAGAAGTAATTGGGACTGCCATAGTGTCCAGCTGAGAATCAAAGACAATCCTGGGACCTGAAGTCTATTCTGGAGGCCCAGGTGACATCTAGGCTCTAAGAACAGACAAGTAGAAGGAAGCAATACTTCCTGTAGAGGACAAGTAACAATGAGGGACTTGCATGCATCCACGGAGGGATAGAACTCTCAGCTAGCATTGCCCCTACTGTGCATCAGAGCGTCGTTGGTTTGCCCTCACTCAGAGTTAAGGACCTGAGGCTGTGACTCCTGAGCCTGATTCCTTTGGGGGAAATCCTCATTGTTATAGTTGGTGCTGACTGGTCTGTGCCAACCTGGGCTCCGTGCCATACCAACAACCCTATTCTCTCTTAGAAACTGGCCTATGCCATCACGCCTGAGAAAGACCGCCAGCTAGTGGACAGAGGGGAGGTACGCCAATTCACGGTGAGTCTAACACCCTGTTCAACTCCCAGGGAGGGCAACCAAGGAGACTTGAAAAGTGTCCTCTAATTGCTCTAACACTCATGATACCCACAGCCACTCTCACAGGTCCGGAAGACCAGGAAGCTCTGTATAGGAAAGAATTGGCCACACCAGCAGAGCTTTGATGCTGGCCAGGGCTACCCAGAAGCCCTAACTGGTGGGCGGGGCAGCCAGCAAGTAGAAGAAGTTCATGGAGAGGAGCAGCCAGGACGACATTGGCAGGGATGGCTGCTCGAGGGGAAGAGCCCTGTGGGGACAAATGTGAGACTCCTTAGGATCCGTAACCTCCATTCTTGGAGAGATTACAAGAGAAGGATCATGAGACAGAGGGCCTGAAGTAGCTTGGGAAGCTGAGCCGGGAAGGCTGGGGAAGCTTGGCGTTAATCGTCCCTTTTGCTTTCTCAGTGGTTCTAAGATTTAAGTATCTTTTGCAACACTAACATACACCTCAAGTTTCACCCTGATAATCGCACGGGGCTGACTGAGCCACTCACAGATAGGGGAGCGTCATCTTTCTCCCTTTAATTGTTTGTCCTGTTTTCTGTTTGTTTTCCTCCTTGTTGCTGTTTTTATCTGTTGAGTTTTTTGCTTTTCCTTGCTCCACTCATCTGTTTCCACTTGCTTGGAACCTGTACATTTTAATTCTTAAAATAGTTATCTTTGAGCGAGACACACATTTCCCTCAAAGTCTAAAGCTAATATCTCAGCTCGCCTTTTGAGCAGCACTTACAATGACTTAAAACCATGCTGCTGGTTACCAAGTCATTGTCTTGTGTTCTGTGCCTTTCTTTCTAAACCACAAGTCAGACATTGCTGCTGTGGGTTTACAGTGTTACAGCTTTAGGCAAACCATGCCCTGGGGTTCATGTGTACTTGCTGTTCATGTCTTCGCCACATTTTCAGTGTGCGTTTTTCTTTCCAGAAGCATTTTCTGGGTTCTCAAAAACAAATCCTTGAGACATCTCCTTAATGAGCTCTCACAGCAGACTCCCCTACCTTCAGGGGTCTAAACAATTTGCTGGTGTCCTGAAAGCTCGCAGTCCCCCAGTCCTAAGGGCCTTTATTCTTCTGTTTTGCTTCTGGACTCTAGGATATATGCCTGGGTCCTTTGGGACTCCTATCTGCACTTGGATGCTTTCATATTTGGACTTCAGGGGCACAGTTGCACATTGGCTGTGGTCACTGGTCCAAATGTTATCTGCTTGTTCCCTGAATTTTCCTCTCTGTCTTTTGGATGCTTTCTGATGTAACTCCCTGCCCATGCTTCTGTGCTTACTGAATCACTGGGAACTTCCTATGCCTTTATTGATCCACCCACTCATTTTAAAATCAATTTTTTCTAGAGTGTGTAATCTTCTGTGAACCTTTGCAGAAGGCTTAACCTCTTGCCTGTCACAGTTTCTTCTTTAGAGGTTCATTTCTGGGTCTTTTTATATCTTCTATGCCTCCTCTTAACTTTTTTGAGCAAACACAGTGAGATTATCTGAGATTTGAACTTTTCTGTCAGTCAGGGTCAGTGTCAGACTTTGCTCACTGGGGCTATTTTTTAAATCTTGCTTTTTGTTCTGGTAAAGTTTAATCTCAGTCAAGGTATGTGGCTTTTTCCTATTGCATCCTAGATAATTTTAACCCGTGTGTGTGTGTGTGTGTGTGTGTGTGTGTGTGTGTGTGCACCAGTGCGCATGCACGCGTGCCTGTGGAGGCTGGAAAAATACCCTAGGAGATGCTGGGCGTCACCTTCAGGACCACACCTGACATTTCTACACAAATTTCTGGGGTTGAACCCAGGTCCTCGTGCTAGCAAAGCAAACAGTTTGCCAACTGAGCCCCCTCCCAGACCCCTATATGTCAGATGTTTTGTTTTGGTTTAGACAGGGTTTCACTATGTAACTCTGCCGATCTGGAACTTGCTATACAGACCAAGCTGGTCTTAAACTTATCGAGATATACCTGCTTCAGCTTTCTGAATGCTGGCATTAAAGGAATGAGCCACCACACCTGGCTGAATATTTTCGGTACCTTTAAATATTCTTGGAGCGCCTTGGATCTTTGGAGGAGTGCTTTTTAAGATCTGTTGGGTGGGTCCCAAGGGGGCATTGACATTGATCTGTCTCTGTGCCCCAGCATAGATCTGGGTTAGAGGGTTTCCAACCCTACTGCAGGGGCAGACACTGATCCAGCCCTCAGTGCCGGTTCCCATACCCTGTCACAGGCTCCTGTGGGTGTCACACCTGCTGCTCAGGACTCAGCCCATCTCTGTTGGTGCTCTTTGCTGCTCTGTCCTGCCATCTCCAGCCACACGGGTCCTTCACATTCCAAGGAGTTCTCTGGGCTCTCACTCTACTCTGAAGTCAAGGCATCAGGCTGGGTAGCTGCCTCATTCATTCTTCCTGAGGTATCACTTAACCATGGCCATCAGATGTCCAGTGTCTTGCAAACCCCATGGACACCTGCAGTGTTCAACTGGGGTTGTTTCAAATGGTAAATTCAGCCTTGTTATTCCCCTTCTATCAGAAATCTGTGTGTGACTCTGGTCTATCCATGTTGCCTGTTCAGTAATATTCCTTATGCCAACAGCCCATAATTTATCCCTAATTGTATGCACACCTCTAGAAGCTATGCTTTGACCCTCGTTTGCTCCAGTAAAGCATACATCTCTGGACTCACACATGCCAGTCTCTTTTTCTAGTATCCCACACATAACTGTGTTATATTGTGCCAGCTACAACATCTCTGGTCCTGGACTCTGAACTCTAGGCTCTAGGATCTGGCTCTTGGTGATCCTTGCTCAGAGCTCTGTGTTCCAGTTTTTGAAAAAAAATAAGTCACCCTATGCCCTCCTTTCTCAGTGTCACCTAATCACCTGCTTCTGTTGGTGACAAGGACAGAGGGGTGAGGCTGTCTCCAAAGCTGCTGCACTTGAATATAATTCTGTGTTCTGGCCCTCCCCTGTGTACCTTCAGCCAGAATTCTATTTATTTTTTGACCCCCTTGGCACACTAGCCCAGTGCCTGTGCTAGCCTAACCTGCAGACTGCCTTAGACCCTGCCCACCTCAGGCCATGCTGTGGCATGTTCGGACCAGGGCCAAAGAAGCCCCCAAAGAGCCATTTGAGAGGATGCCAAAGAGATTATCCTATGACAGCAATGGCCATGGCCTCTCTCCTGTCTCTGGTTTAATGTGTCAGACAATAGTCTTATGAGCCTTGTTTGGAAAACATTTGGCAGCACAGAACTCTCCAGTCAGTGAGTGTCAGCAGATGGCTATGATCACAAATGGGTTGAGCAAGCAGCAGAACAGCAGGATGCTGGTCTCAATGCCAGAACCATCCTTGCTGCTCTCCACTTGCACCTGAACCACGCCCAGCAAAACAGGCTTCAGAGTGCAGCACCCTCTGGGATGGACCCAACAGTTTCAGCATGCAGGGGAGAAGGACACTGCTGGGCCACTCACAAACGAGTAGGAGGATGATATGGAGCCAGCTCTGGGTCTAAAGTTGTCCTTCCAATCTCACTTCAACTGCTGGTCACAAATATGCTGGCCAGTCCTCTGCCCTTCTAAACAACTGAGATCTATAGGCGTGATTATTTGTTGTTAGGTTGGCTCTGTTTTATTTTGCTTTATTCTGCCTTTTTTTTTCTTTTGTTGAGACAGAATCTTACTGTATCCCAGGCTAAGCCTCAGCTCATAGCAATCCTCCTGCTTCAGCCTCCTGAGTGTTGTAATTACAGACTTTAGCCACTGCTCCTAGTTTCTGTGCCTCTTTTTAATCAAACAATTCAGTACTTAAACGTTTCCACTGGGTCCTTGGCTCTTGGTGCCCCTCAAGAGTGGCATCCATCAGTGGTAAGCTCCCCGTGGGCGAGTGGTGCCACCTGTTGAGTTGTTGGATCAATCCTGATTTCATCGTAAGGCCACCAAGCCATAAGTGACAGTTCTAAGGTCTACTCCTCACATCTGAATAAATGCTTTCTTTCCAGCTGCGCCACTGGCTGTCGGTGTAAAGAGGAAGGAGACAGCAGCCAAGTGAGCCATCTCACGACAGCAGGGACAGGGAGCTCCCTAAAGGAAACCCAAACACCACGAAAGGAGGACCGCTTCTCCCCTCCCCCTTTGCCATAAGGAAAAGTAATCAGAGCGTGGGCTTCAATCTTTGACTGTTCACACCCAATCCATGCTACAAAAATGAAACCTCTCTCTGAACATGGCTGAAAGAACGCACACCTCTATACAGTGAGGTCAACCATGTCCCTTGTCCCTACTAGATGGAAAAGACCTGGTTGTTATCCTATTCCTACAAGGCTGATTCCCTCATCTGTGGTCACCCTAGGAGAACAGGTATTACTGTCCCCTACACCCTAGGAGATGGACCTTAGTACTTATATATACACTGTGCCAGAATCCTTGTGCTCACAATAGCTGCCTAAATCAATTCTTTTGCTCAAATTTACAAATGTCCAGCATCCTGTTTTGTCTGCTTCGTAGAAGGTAGAAAAGACAGTCAATATATGCCAAGTGCTTTCCTGGTGCTTGGCTCTGAGCAGACACCGTGACCTTAGCATCCTGTTCACACATCACACACACACAGGGTCTGTTCTGAGCCATGGAGGACAAGGGACTTGGTGAAAGTGACCACAGAGTCTGTTTTTTTTCCTTTATAGCTGAGATAAATAGATATGAAATAAGGTTTGGATACAACCCCTATTCCTGGCCCCTGGGAGGCCTGCTCAGCTTGTGTCACTTCAGTATGGAACTCCAGGCCACAGAGAACTCACAGCCAGTGTGTCCCAACCCCTGGACACCTGCTCTTCACAGGGGTTCCAAAGCAGAAGATCATATTTCTGGCCTGGAGCTCTGCCTGTTCTTTGGGTTTGATTTCCCAGAGTCTCCCATCACATCAATGGACATTATCCATTTTAGAAACGGCTTTTTTTAAATCATATTTATGTGTGAATCAAAATGACTCTCAAAATGCAAGGCTAGTTTGTTCAGATCTGTTTGCTGATGTCCCTGTTTCTGTTTACAAGAGTAATTAGCAATACCATAGGAAGAAGGTAGACCAAGAACCACCTTCCCACAGAGTGCTGGCTTTAGCCCCTGGAGTAAAATGCCGATGTCATGATTTTCCTTTGAGCTAATAAATATGAACTTTGGCCTGCCCTGTATTCTGTGGAAATGGTACCATATGTCTGTCTGTGAGAGCCAAACTTAGGCATCCTCTGCAAATAGACATTGGCGTGAGGGACTGGAGTGGGCTGCCAGGTGGAAGGTACAGGTCTATGGGCTTCAAGACTGCAGTGTGGCTGAGAGGAATCGGATTTACTATCTTCTCTCTGAGGAGTGGCTCCATGTAGAAATCCAGGTGTTGTCAGCATCTGTTTTGTCTCCATAGTTAGTACCTTGTATGGGTCCTTACAAACAATAAAAGAAATACATGTTGGAAACAGGCTCATCCGTGTGTTTCTTGGCTGTTACCATGTACAGCATCCTGCTCATACAAGGGGAAGAGGGGTGGGTCCAGCTCCCCCAGAGAGAGCTTTCTTTCATCCAAATACCCCTCAGCCTGTCCCCTACCCCACTTTACATCCCCCACACACCTCCACACCTGCTTCTCCCAAGCCTGGAGTAAGTTTATACGTGGGACCTCATTACAGGCGTGCTAGCTGTAGTATTGACCCTGCTCCAGGTCCAAACCACTGTGATGTGTGTGGCACTCACTTTAGCACTAACCTGCTCTTGTCAGGAGGGCACATTGTCTACCTGCCCACCTTCCTCTAGTCCTTCTCTCAGCACCCTGTCAGCTCCCTCCACATCCAGACTCGGGCCCCCAGCCCAACCACCAGCACAGCTGTCTGAGATTCCATTTCAGAGACAAACCCCAGGATCTTCTGAGTGGGCCTCTAGGTTCTCTTTTATTCTGTGACTGGAGGAAGTCATTGGACATTGAGAGGCCAAGACACACCTAAAGGAAAGCTCTGTCAGTCTCCTTGTGATTGGTTTAGTGTGACTTGTGACAAGTCATGTAGTCATCAACACCATGACAATACAATAGTCTCCCTATAACCCATGATAGAACAAGCACTTCCATCCACGTGACCACTGCCAGATTCCCCCTCCCCCACCAAAAAAATCAACCTCACTTCCTTCAGGTTTTACTCCTCTGAAAAATTACTGGAGAAGTCACCACAACCCCAGATCCACATAGTAAGCAAAAGCCTTCCTTCCAGGGCCTACTGCCTGTGAGCCTCAGAATGCTGGCCACAGCAGCCCCAAGGGTGGTAGATGAACTTCCTGTTGGTTGTGGCTGCTGTAGTGCCAGCCACTCTGTAGCTATACATACAGCAGTGCATGCACAGGGGCTTGGGGAGTGGTGTGCTAGCCAATGTCTGTGGCTCAGGACATCACAGGGCTGGGACTACTCACCATCCCCCACTTCCCAGCCTCCAGCTTTTGGCTGATCACACTATACCCTGCACAGCACAAGAGGAGAAGAAGGCATGAGGGCCAAGTGGGAGCCAAAGCTCTCTGAGATGAGTGATATGAACAAGCACCTTGAGAAAACACAGGGAGCTCCATGTAGATTATGGCCCAGGACTGAAGCAGCCACTGAACCACATCTCTGGAACCATTAACTTCCTCTGACAGGCTTTACAGTCATCCAAACCTAGAAGGAGCTGTGCGGAACATCAGTGACTGGAGACTGACTTGCCTAATGCTCTCTACAACACATGATTTGGAAAATGTCCTAAGGAGCAAGGGAGTGGGAGGTGTATGCTTGGAACGTGTAAAGACCTCTTACAAATCAATAAAATGGCGGTTCTTTGAGGAAACAGACAAAAATCATGAGTGGGTACTGAGTGACTCATCTTTTATTACTGCAGCAAACACCCAAGAAAACCAGCTCATAAAGAAAAAGGGGTTGTTTCACTCACAGCTTTGGAGATTCCAGTCCATGACTGGTTGGTCCTATTCGCTTGGGGCAGTAGTAACACAAGCATCATGACAACAATAAATATCAAAATGGATCCATCTTGGGATGGGACATTAAAGAGAGGAAAAACAGGTGGTTAGAATACCACAATCCCCTTCAAGAGTATTCCCCCTGACCTAACCCCCTCCACTAGGCTCCACTTCCTAAAGGTTCAACTACCTCCTAATAACGTAAAACTAGAAACCAAGCCTTTAGTCTAGAGGCACATTTGGTTACATTCCAGATCTGAACTTCAGCAGATTCACTCCAATGGAAAGTGGCTCAGTGGTCAGAATCTAGAGAAAGAGGCCCAGACTCACAATCAAAGAACCACAAGGAAACCCTTTCAATCCTGAAACAGCTAACCCCTAACGTATTTGACAGTGTGTGTAGGTGAGAATGGGGGACAAGAGCACCGGTGCATTCTGGGTAGGAGTATGCATCACTGCAGTGGCTTGAGGAGGATGTGGAAAAATTGACTTTCTAGTTGTAGGTACTGTTGTAGACGCTTCCCATGTGTGGGAATCCCTTCACCCGTCAGCCGTGGCACACCCACACACACTGTAGTGATGCTCTAACAGTCTACACTGTGACCTGGCCCCAGAGACTGCCTCAGGCCTCGTCTATCACCAAGCCAACCTGACCTGATACCTCTTTTGAACCAGGGTGAGTTGTACTCCACCTGAAACCATACTTGCTCTGAGCCCCTTTATTTCCTTATTCTATTTGTTTAACCCTTTCTAATTCTCTCACAAGAACTCCACCATGGAGTGAGGGCACAAGACTCTTGCTCAAGAATTCTCAGAAGTTCCAACCTCAGCAATGTGTGCCGTAATTTTTTAAAATTGGCTCAAGAGAGAAAAGATTCAAGCAGAGGGTTTTTTATTTGAGAAAGGGATCATAAAAGGGGAAAGAGAATCTGGAAAGACCAGCCTCCAGAGATAGGAGCAGCAGGATAAGAGAGCAGGGAGTGCAGGAGGAAGGGAGGGAGAGAGGGAAGGATGGGAGGTGGGCAGGGCCCTTTTAAAGGGGAACATAGTGAATATGCACAGGTGGTGCTCTTAGTGGCTGCAGCTGAGGGCGTATCCTGTCAGAACCCTAATGACAGACCAGTACAGATGCCTGAATACTAACAATATGTTCACCCACGGCTGCAGTCTACTTCGGTGTGCCCATCAACGATCATATGTCATATCCAAGTCCTGTGATCTATCTTTTGTACCCACCAAGGTTCATATGCCATCCTGAGAGCATCAACATTGTACCAGAGTTCACACACATACACACACGAGTGTTCATAAAAGTCCAAACTGGGCACAGCTGATGTTAAAGGAAACATATTCCTGCTTGTTATAAGGAAGAACCTTTAATTAATAACACTGACCCTATATGGGATATGGCTATAGGTTGAACTGTTGAATCGCTCCCACATACCTAAAGAAGTCCTACTCCCTAATACCTATGAAGATGACTTTATAGATTTTTATTGCATTTATTGTATATGCACACGCATGTCAGAGAACTACTTGAAGGAGCTGATTGTCTCCTTCTACCATAAGAGTCCCAGTGATTGAACTCAGGCCATCAGGGTTGAGTTCTTCTTGCTGAGTCATCTTGCTGCCCCCAAAGTGACTTAAGCAAAGACAGATACCATCATGGATGACCCTAATCCAACATAACTAGACTCCTTATGAGGAAGGAGAAAGACTCCATGATAGAAACACAGGGAAAGGATGCCGTGGAACCATAGAAGCATAGATGGAAAAGGGAGACTTCAAACCAAGACACACCAGAATTGGAAAGAAGGCTGGAGGCCATGTGAGGCATATATTCTCCCCACCCTGCAGGTGCCTAGAGGGCCTGGCTATCTTCATGTTGGGTAGTTTTGCTGTGTGGTTAATTCTGCGTCTTCACATTTGACTCATCTGCAAATGACACTATGTACGTAAGGGCTTGTGACTGTGAGTTTTGTTAAGTTCTAACATTTAATAATTTTTCAACTGCTTCATACTTTTTAAACATGGTTTTTTAAACCATCTTTTGAGAGTTCCTTAGATGTATACAATGTGTTTGGAACACATTCGACTCATACTCCTTCCAGATCAAACCCAGCCCTACAATCCCTCCTCTTTTTGTATATCCTACTAGTTCTAGTTTGTGGTACCCGTATACTCCTGTTTATGGGGACATCCACTAGAGTAACATAGACCTACCAGGGGCCACACCTTTAAAGAAAACTGACTCCCTCTCAAGAGATGTCAACTGTCAGTAACTCCTCAGCTAGGAGTAGGGGCTCACCACCCTTTCACACAACCATGCTAGAATATTAATAGGCTTGGTCATGTGTAGGCAACTACACAATAAAATACACAGCTGTGAATAATGAGTGTGATAGTCCTGGCAAGTCCAGAATACACCAGAATGCTCTGGTACTCCCCAACCTCTGGCTCTTACACTCTTTCTGGCCCCTTTCCTGAGTCGTAGGGAGAGGGCATGATACAGATGTCATACTTGTGGCCAAACACTCTGCAGACATTTATTCCCTGTGCTTTGACCATCTCTGAGTTTCTACATTAACTATTAACTGCACAGAGACTTCCCTAATGTCTGAAAGCTGTAGTTCTTTGTCTAGACAAGAGACCCCATGAAATTCTCCCCCTCCCATGTTGGCATGCCCTTTGATAGCCCTCTCGTTCCAGTCTTGCTTATGCAGCCATTTGGAGGGGAGACTTCGCAGACTTCCTGGTGTTGTGGCTCTTAGAGTCTTTCTGTCCCATTTTTTTTCTGTGATGTTCCCTGAGTCATAGCCAACTGTGATGTAGATGTGTCCATTGGGCTCCCCACAATCTGCTGATATCTGCATTGTGTACAGTTGTTGTTTCCTCTGGTGGTCTCCATTTGCTGTAAAGAAAGACATCTTTGATAGGGGACGGTAGCTACACTTATCTGTGGGCATAAGGATAAAATTTGGAAGGTTAGTAAGGCAATGTGCTGGTCTAGCTGTCTAATTAGGCTTAAGGTCTATGCGGCAGGAAGGAAATCATGTCTGGTACTGGAAACCTAGCTAGCCTCCCTGCAATAGTGAGGTCATGAACTTTGGAAAAGAATCTACTGCCACTGCCACCTTGCTAGACCAGCACAATGCCTTACTAACCTTCCAAATTTTATCCTTATAGTCATGTTATGCAACTACTGACTGCTTGGAGAAGGAGCCTCCTTATTGGTTACCCAATGCAGAGTGGTCATCTTTGAAACCATATTCACACAGCACACACACACACACACACACACACACAATCAGCAGGTTCTACATATATATTTGCACACACATACGTGTGTGTGTCTGTGTGTGTGTGTGTGTGTATGTATAACCAAAGAGAAAGAAGCTATCCACTTCACAATGCAGGTCATGAGAGGGAGTCAGGATAGGGTAACTGAGATGGTCAGGATATAATTCTATTTCAATTAAAATGT